GGAGAGACTAGAAGGACACTAGAGGGATTAGAGAGAGACTAGAGAGAGACCAGAGAGAGACTGGAGAGAGACCAGAGAGAGACTGGAGAGAGACCAGTGAGAGACTGGAGAAAGATCAAAGAAAGAGACTATAGAGAGACCAGAGAGAGACCAGAGAGAAAGACCAGAGAGAGACCAGAGAGAAAGACCAGAGAGAGACCAGAGAGGGACAAGGGTGAGGGACTAGAAGGAGACCAGAAAGAGACCAAAGAGAGACTAGAGAAAGACCAAAGCGAGAGCAGAGAGAGAGACTAGAGAAAGACCCGAGAGGGACTAGAGAGAACCTATAGAAAGACCAGAGAGAATGACCAGAGAGAGATCAGAGTGAGACCAGAGAGAGATCAGAGTGAGACCAGAGAGAGACCAAAGAGAGACCAGAGAGATACTAGAGAAAGACCAGAGAGAGACCAGTGAGAGACCGGAGAGAGACCAGAGAGAGACCAGAAAGAGACTAGAGAGACAAGAGAGAGACAGGAGAGAGACCAGAGAGAGACCAGAGAGAGACCAGAGAGAGACCAGATAGAGACCAGAGAGAGACTAGAGAGAGACTAGAGAGAGATCAGAGAGAGACCAGATAGAGACCAGAGAGAGACCAGAGAGAGACCAGAGAGAGATCAGAGAGAGACCAGAAAGAGACCAGAGAGAGACCAGAGAGACTAGAGAGAGACCAGAGAGAGACCAGAGAGAGACCAGAGAGAGACCAGAGAGAGACCAGAGAGAGACCAGATAGAGACCAGAGAGAGACTAGAGAGAGACTAGAGAGAGATCAGAGAGAGACCAGAAAGAGACCAGAGAGAGACCAGAGAGAGACCAGAAAGAGACCAGAGAGAGACTAGAGTCCAGACTGGTGAGTGTGACACACTCGGTTACTGAGCAGGAGGAGTTTCCTTTTCCACGGCAGAGAAACCGCAGAATGGAGGAGACGAGGGAGAACCATCGATTCGTTTCTCTCTCATTTCTCTGTCGTAAAGTGGGAAAGTAATAAACACTTGGAGCGAGTGGAGGAGCAGCACAGAGCTCTGAGGTCCGGCTCCTGGTCTCGGCCCTCGTGGGAGACCAGACAAGTGCCTGTTAGAAGTGTGTTTGTGGAGAGCGAGCGGTTTCCTGATCAGATAATGCAGTGTGACATCACAGAGGCGTGGCTGCTGAGTCACTGAACACACAGAAGAACCATAGAAGAAGAAAACACCGCATTTTTAAACAAGTTACAGCGACTGGGAAAGACAAGACACACAGGCCTCTGGTCTCTCTCTGGTCTCTCTCTGGTCTGTCTCTGGTCTGTCTCTGGTCTGTCTCTGGTCTGTCTCTGGTCTGTCTCTGGTCTGTCTCTGGTCTCTCTCTGGTCTCTCTCTGGTCTCTCTCTGGTCTCTTTCTCTGGTCTCTCTCTGGTCTCTCTCTGGTCTCTTTCTCTGGTCTCTCTCTGGTCTCTCTCTGGTCTCTCTCTGGTCTCTTTCTCTGGTCTCTCTCTGGTCTCTCTCTGGTCTCTTTCTCTGGTCTCTCTCTGGTCTCTCTCTGGTCTCTCTCTGGTCTCTTTCTCTGGTCTCTCTCTGGTCTCTCTCTGGTCTCTTTCTCTGGTCTCTCTCTGGTCTCTCCCTGGTCTCTCTCTTGTCTCTCCCTGGTCTCTCTCTGGTCTCTCTGTGTTGCAGCAGTCATCATCACCATGCAATCTTTTCATCAGTTTAGAATGATGCCAATTCTCTAAACTCCACACCATCTCGTACAAATCTCTTGCATCTCTAACTTCCAACCCCTACACACACACACACACACACACACACACACACACACACACACACACACACATACACGTTTTTGTTACCTGGTGGGTCCCTGTGACAGGGCCGTTCAGAATGGGACCCATAGACATAATCATTTTTTACCAAGACTTTAAGTAATACAAAACAGTCAATAGAAACCAAACAACTATTTTAAAGGAATTTTATTTTAGATTTTGTTTTCGAATTGCAGTGATTCTATTTTTGACATAGAATTTAATGCCACTCCATGTCCGATGTCTAAGGTCATCTGGTGAGGCATTAATGCAGGCCAGGCAGTGAGACTTCCCAGGGACCTTTCCAGTCTGTATGAAAGGTGTCATGGTCTTCTCCACAGCCTTCACCTCAGATGCAGACCATGGCTTTCTTACACGTTCTAGGGAGAGAAATAAAAATATATTAGCAATATACACTCCCAGGGTGAGGACCAAGCAGCCTGGCTGTAATCCCCCACCTGGTACACTTACCAGAAGGGGCACTGCCACTACCATGGGGTGCATCTGGATGAATGGTTGAAGGTTCTCCGCTTGAAGTTTCTTTTAGCCCGTCCGTTTGTGAGAGGATCTCTACTGCTCTCCCTGTCGCACAGAAAATAAAAATACAAGTGGCCTTTAGGGGAAAAAAATCATACATATTTTAATATTATCAAGAATTACCTTCAGGCTCAATTTGTATCTGGTCGAGGCTCTTTCCTTCGAATTCCGTCACTCTTCCCTGCTCCATGGCCATCAACACTTTGCTGATTTTGGCCAGCTCCAGTGTCCCCTCTGGTAGTCTGTAATATTGCCTGTGGATGCGAATGTCATGGCCGAGGAAGTTGGCAAGTATGTCCATCTCATTCTCTTTCATATTGAGAACTGTAGACATAGTAGCTATGTGCTTTCTAAGTTTGGTTGAGGATAGCATCTCTGGATGCACCGCACCACATTCTTTGGCTACCTGGCGTAGGGAGTCTGATCCCCTGATGTGGGTGTCTGCGCCCGGGCGGGAAAAGAAGTATGGGTTATGGTCAGAGATGGAACAGGCCCTTCTGTTCTCCACCAGCACCTCCATCGAAGCAATCATTTCAGGAGTCAAAAGAACCGGCACTTTCCGACTTCTTTTCCCTTTAATTTCAATGCGTTGAAAATGCTGACACAGCTTTTTCTCAAGTTGGGACAGTCCCAGAGCAATGTCAGAATGGATCCCAGTCTTACTTCTTAAGGTAAAGGCTGTCAGTGGCATCTTTGAAACCTCACCTTCCCTTCTTCGATTGAAAATGATGACCTCACAAAGAGTCAAAACTGCCAGTTTAGACCAATGCTTAGACGTTGGCTCACTTATTAGGGTTTGCACATATTCAGGTCGACATACCTCAATATGTGCATGCATGGCTCTAACGTCCTCAGTCAGAGGGAGCAGGTCCGGAGTGTTCCACTTGGCTTGCCGGAGGGTCTGTAGGGCAGCAGAAGAAACACAGACGTCCCACCTCTTCTCAAAAAGCAGCCGGCTTCGTTGGAGGTTTTTAATAAATAGTTCATCAACACAATGCTCCATTTTTGAGTCACATTCAAGAATATCTGCTAGCTTTCTGAGGCTATGGCCGAGTTTGAGGGCCAAGGATGGAGTCTTGTATTGATTTGTTTCCTCATCATATCCAGCCACAGACCTGACTGCATCAATCACATGGTTAAAGTTGGAAGGAATAAAGAAATCCTTAATTGTTTTCAGTTTCCCTGCGGTTTTTGCTTCGTTAATTAACCTACCGACTTCTCTCATTTTCTGCCTAATGTAATCATGCTTAGTCTTATCATGCCCGTGTTTTAAGTACAGGTGCTCTCCGAGTCTCAGAATCCCCTTTTCTGCTTTGACAACACCCGTGACCTCATCCTGATGCATTGCCGAAATTAAAGACCACAGCTTTTTGCTGATGCCCTCCGGTACAGGCTGGGCTAGGGAGCAGAGGGACTGGACCCTACTTCTACCTGGTTTAGCCTGGGCATCTTTCTGTGAAAGCCGGCACCTGGCCACATGCCTCCACAGCGACTTTCGCTTAAGCAATGCCCCACAGTCTATACAGTGCAAAAACTCACTGGATTTAACTGGGGAATTTGGCTGTTTAGCTGGGACTAAAGTTCCAATGCCGGCCTTTAAAACCTCAAAATTGTGCTCACGGTTTCCACTATTCCTGATCAAATCAAACTGAAGTTTACGTGCTTTAGATTTCACAGGTAGAGCCAATGCTCTGGCTACGTCACTTTCATTTCCATGTTTTCTAGTCAAATGACGGGACATTTTGTGGCAGGACATTGAACAGTAGAGGCAGAAGTGTCTCTTGCTGTAAACTCGCCCCCCATTTTTCTTCTTTTGCAGCTGCATGATAACAATCTTATTTGCCTTTGGTTCGTCACTTTCCGAGTCTTGAAGAAAAGTGTTTTTGATTTTTCTTTTTCCATACTTTTTTACAGGTTTCTTCTTGACAGTTAAATCGTCAGAATCTGAGTCGACTTCATCAATTAGGGACTCTTGACTAAGCTGCACAAACAACAAATAATTTGTAATCATTCTATATAACAATTTGAAGTCATGACTTGTAGTCAGCACTTACCAGTGGTTTGTAAGCGTGCGCTTCAGTGTGCTCCTCCATGATTTCTTGCAGCCTAATGAACCACACACTTGCACCTTTTTCTAGCCTGACACCTGATTTCCTCTGTTGTGCTGCTCCATGATTGGCTCCAGCCTGCTGGACTGAAATTGCCCCAGTGTGCCCCTCCTTGATATCCCGCAACCCACCACCAGGGTTCCGACACATAACACACTTTTTTCAGGAAAGTAAACCTCCAGGGGTCCTTTCCATATTTTTACAGAGACTGCATAAGGACCGTTAGAAAAGCATTACCCATTGATTATTAAGCTTGGACCAGTGGGGTCCGGTGTTCGGGCCCCACCACGTAAAACCAGTCCCCATGACGTGAGTGGAATCTCAGGTTATGGAACCCACCAGGAGTTGAAAACAAGTGCACACACACACACACACACACACACACACACACACACACAGACACACACACACACAGGATTCCAGCCTACAACCAAACTGCAAATGAGTCTTTTTCTCTCATCAAATAGTAATGCCTTCGTGGTGTTCGTGAAGCTGTCTCCGGATCCCAGAATAACAACTGTGTGAATAAGAAATCGCTTCAATATTTATCCATCCTCGTCTGATGTGGGTCTGATGTGGGTCTGATGTGGGTCTGATGTGGGTCTGATGTGGGTCTGATGTGGGTCTGATGTGGGTCTGATGTGGGTCTGATGTGGGTCTGATGTGGGTCTGATGTGGGTCTGATGTGGGTCTGATGTGGGTCTGATGTGGGTCTGATGTGGGTCTGATGGGTCTGATGTGGGTCTGATGTGGGTCTGATGTGGGTCTGATGTAGGAGTGTGACGATATATCGATATGCAATTGCCAAGTATCGATTTTTTATTATTTTTTATTAATATCAATACTTAATACAGCGGCACGGTGGCTGAGTGGTTAGCACTCTCACCTCTCAGCAAGAAGGTCCTGGGTTCAAATTCCAGTCGGACCAGGGCCTTTCTGAGTGGAGTTTGCATGTTCTCACCGTGTCTGCGTAGGTTTCCTCTGGGTGCTCCGGTTTTTACTACCATTAAAAACATGTACAATAGGTCTGTGCCTCCTGTACTGGCCCCTCCCATCTCTGTGGAGTGAGAGACTAATGCCCAAAAAATAACAATTGTAAACCTTTGAGACTCTGGTCTGTGAAAGGCGCTATATAAATAAACCTTACTTACTTACTTAATATTTGATATATGGCTACATTATTAATCTCCATTCCATTTATCATGAAATAAAGTGTATTTTTTCACTTCACATTTTTCCATTTTATGTATACCATATGTTGGCATATGGTATATTTCTGACCAATATATCGATAATCGTCATATCGTGATATAATCGTTTTTGTGATATAATCGTTATCGTGAGCTTTGTATCGTGTATCGTATCGTATCGTGAGGTACCCTGAGGTTCCCACCCCTAGTCTGATGTGGGTCTGATGCGGTTCTGACGCGGTACTGATGCGGTTCTGATGTAGGTCTGATGCGGTTCTGATGCGGTTCTGATGTAGGTCTGATGCGGTTCTGATGCGGTTCTGATGCGGTTCTGATGTGAGTCTGATGTGGTTCCGATGCGGTTCCGATGCGGTTCTGATGCGGTTCTGATGTGGGTCTGATGTGGGTCTGATGCGGTTCTGATGTAGGTCTGATGCGGTTCTGATGTTGGTCTGATGTGGGTCTGATGCGGTTCTGATGTTGGTCTGACGTGGTACTGATGCGGTACTGATGCGGTTCTGATGCGGTTCTGATGTAGGTCTGATGTGGGTCTGACGCGGTACTGATGCGGTTCTGATGTAGGTCTGATGTGTCACCGTCACTGTCAAACGGCGCCGCACGTTTACATCGGTGTCGTTTTTTTCACCGAGCTTGAAAAGTTTCCCCAGAAACAGACACCTCCTCTGGACCAGGGCTCTCTACTCTGAGAATCAAAGGCCCTGTTTCCACCAGACCTACTCTACTCTACTCTGGTTGGCTCTACTCTACTCTTCTCTACTCTGGTTGGCTCTACTCTACTCTTCTCTACTCTGGTTGGCTCTACTCTACTCTTCTCTACTCTTCTTGGTTCTGCTGTTAGCATTTCCATTAGAATCTGGTACTGTATTCTAGTAACCGATCAACAAATCTCTAGTGCGACATATGGTGTGATGTCACTGAGAGTCTGGACTAATATTGTTGTACCTCATTTTAAAACTAATATTATCAAAAACACAACAGCACTGGTTCTATTACCATAAACACTGAACCCAGAACCGTGTTTCCCAAAGAGGGGTTCCCGGGTATCACGAGGGGTACTTACAATGATTTTTGTTACTAATTTTTGATTAGTAACTTGCAAACACTTTGGGGGCGACAGTGGCTCAGTGGGTAGAGCATTGGCCTCTGAGCCTGAAGGTTGTGGGTTTGAGTCCACCATGAGACCTTCTCCATTGACTCCCACTGATGCCTGCTGTTGTTGTGTCCTTGGGCAAGACACTTAATCCCACTTTGCTGAAAGATCAAGGCTGTGTTGTCACTGACAGAGCAGCCTCCTGTGGACTCACCGCCTGCAGGAGGATCAGTGAGGGGCTGGTGCTCTGTGGACTGACCCAGAAATGGATTAAGGGGAAGAAGATGGATGGATGGAACTTGCAAACATAAAGATAGTAAGACTTTCATGTGGATGACTATGACTTGGACCAATGGAAACCTTTCTGAACCTCTTTGAGTCGACGTCAATATTCTAATTTATGAAATTATTCTGACCTTTGACATCTCCTTTCTCTGCTGCTTTACTTTCTCTGCTCTCATTGGGTCGTTCCTAAACCGTCACTTGTTGCAGAAACACAGAGAGTTTTGCTCCTGGAAAAGCAGTAGGAGTGAAACATGGGCAAACTGCTTTTCTCTGAACCAGATCCTGACAAACGTGTTGCCCGTCGCGTTGTTTGGACGCTTCGCTCCGATCAGCGCCGACTCGGACACTCTGAGAAGCCGATCCTTCGTCTCCTTCTCAGAGCAGAACACAGAGAGATGAATAATGTGAGTGTGGCAGTCGCACGGATCCATCAGCCCGGTGCCAGCTCCACTCTGCTCCTGCATCAGTCTCTGTCACAGGCCGCTCCCACACCAGCATCTCTGAGGATCTGCCAGCGCTGATCACCCATAATGCATCATGCCAGGGTTCTATAGCCTTGTACATACAGCAGCGTGTGTGAAGCATGTTTATGGCTCCAGTAACGAGGGTCAAATATGAGTCAGAGTATGGAGAAGGCAGACATGAGGCTTTGTTACCCTTCTCACTTATTTCAACACTGGATCACAACAGTCAATGAATGACTAACCCTCCAGGCGCTACGGGTGACTTAAAGCAGCAATATGTAAGATTTTCATGTCGAGTCATCATTTAAGGGCCCTAATCTGTCAAAAGGCATCAATAAAACATGCTCTTTTCCAATACTTCTTTAACTGATAACTTTTCCAGCCCCTAAATCTTGTTATTGTTTTCATTTCAATGTCCCGCCCTCCACCGTTTCACCAATCAGAAAGTCTGTGATCCGGGCGCCAGAACTCAATGTGCCAGTATCTACGTCCGGATTTTTCGGGATCGCCTTTTCTCGCATTACATCAGTGTTTTTGTCATGAAAACGTAAACAGAAAATTCTGAAAATCTCCGTGCACTTGTATTAAGAATGTATATGTATAATGTACTCTCCGATTAACATTTAAGTGTGTTGATTGATTGGTATTTGCGTTTATTGAGCGTGGCTAGCTCCGGAGTGGCCGGAACTACTGGAGTTATCCACGCATTTGAAATACAAGCAGAGAGTGCGTTGCCATGGCAGCGGTCATTATTGTTGCTCTAGAAAATAATGACCGGTAGAACGTTTTGAGATTACATTCAAATCAGTGGAGCATTCTACTGCTGCTGTGAGGAGCTGTGTAATAAATGGAAATATTTCATGAAAATCCACGATTGCCACGATTACTGTACTTTTCATTGTGAACCATGGACATACCAGCTGAAACAGAACTATATCAAGTCATTCTCATCAAAGTGGAGAAAAATCAAACGAGCAAAAAGGTCTCATGTCATTTCCTGTTCCCATATTTTGACGAATCCAGTAATATCGGGTAGATCTGAAAGAAACCAAACAACCTCTGAAGGCAAACTGAGTGAAAAACACGGTATTTATTACATGATTGTGTTTGAGCCAAATTTTATCATATGAAAGAAGTTAAGCTAGCCTCAGTCCTGGGTCTACAGCCTCAGTCCTGAATCTACAGCCTCAGTCCTGGGTCTACAGCCTCAGTCCTGGGTCTACAGCCTCAGTCCTGGGTCTACAGCCTCAGTCCTGAATCTACAGCCTCAGTCCTGGGTCTACAGCCTCAGTCCTGGATCTACAGCCTCAGTCCTGGGTCTACAGCCTCAGTCCTGGATCTACAGCCTCAGTCCTGGGTCTACAGCCTCAGTCCTGGATCTACAGCCTCAGTCCTGGATCTACAGCCTCAGTCCTGGGTCTACAGCCTCAGTCCTGGATCTACAGCCTCAGTCCTGGGTCTACAGCCTCAGTCCTGGGTCTACAGCCTCAGACCTGGATCTTATTTTTATTTATCTTGGGCTGTGTGCTCGTCATTCCTGCTGTGGGACAATATATATATATATATATATATATTTTTTTTTCTAATTCTCATTATAATTTTGAGTGACCATAATATAATGCATGTCTCTGCTATAAATGCAACAGTTTATTTCCAATCAAAGTGTCCCGTGTCTCTCTCAGCCTCAGTTCAAGTGTTAACCACCAGGATAATGTCATCTTTAACAACGGCGGCGGCAGGAGCGTCCGACCCCAGAGGAGACCGTGACCTTGGGGCCAGTGATCAGCACATCCATCATGGCCGCCGGTCGTTGACGTCTCCTAAATTTGTCCCTCGCTCTGATCCTGAGACCTGAAGGGGGGAGAGAGGGGGGAGAGAGGGGGAGGAATGGTCTTCTCTCACCCCCAAAGGCTGTGTAAATGTCAGGGCTGAGTTACGGAAGATGTCGGGGTTTTTTACAGCCTCAGTCCTGGGTCTAGAGCCTCAGTCCTGGGTCTACAGCCTCAGTCCTGGGTCTACAGTCTCTCTGTGTCTTTTGTATTGTATCCATGTCTGCAGACTCTGTAAATATGAGACCATTTTGAGAAGCAGGAGCAGACTTCTCAATGACGTACCCCCCCCCCCCCCCCTCCCTGTGTTTGGGCCTGAGCTGTCACGGAGCTGCACCCCCCTCCTCCCCCTCCTCCCCCCTCCCTCCCTCCCTGGACCTCTCCAGTGTGTGCTTCTCCGTCACGCTGCTGCTGCTCTCTGTCTGTGAATAATGTGAATATGCATCCTTCAGATCGCTGTCACATTCAGGTCCGTTCTCACATCCTGATGCTTGTTTTTGAACGGTTTTAGCTCCTGTAAATCTGAGAGGACTGCTATCTCTGAATACAGGTCTCTTTCTAGTCTCTCTCTAGACTCTCTCTCTAACCATTCTCATTTTTAATCTCTCTGCTCTCTCACTCTCTGGCCTCTCTCTGGTCTCTCTCTGGTCTCTCTCTATGGTCTCTCTCTGGTCTCTTTCTGATCTCTCTCTTTTTAATCTCTTTGATCCATCTCTCTCTGCTCTCTCTCTCTCTGTCTCTGGTCTCTCTCGCTGGCCTCTGTCTCTAGACCTTCTCTCTGGTCTTTCTTTGGTTTCTCTCTCTCTGATCTCTCTGGTGCATCTAGATCTCTGGTCTCTCCCTGATCTCTCCCTGGTCTCTCTCTGCTCTCTCTCCCTGGTCTCTCTTCCTGGTCTCTCTCTCTGGTCTCTCTATCTGGTCTCTCTCTTGTCTCTCTCTTGTCTCTCTCTGGTCTCTCTCTTGTCTCTCTCTGGTCTCTCTCTTGTCTCTCTCTCTCTGCTCTCTCTCCCTGGTCTCTCCCTGGTCTCTCTCTCTTGTCTCTCTCTGGTCTCTCTCTCTGGTCTCTCACTCTGCTCTCTCTCTGGTCTCTCTCTGGTCTCTCTCTCTGGTCTCTCTCTCTTGTCTCTCTCTGGTCTCTCTCTCTGGTCTCTCTCTCTGGTCTCTCTCTGGTCTCTCTCTCTGCTCTCTCTCTGGTCTCACTCTGGTCCCTCTCTGCTCTCTCTCTGCTCTCTCTCTCTCTGCTCTCTCTCCCTGGTCTCTCCCTGGTCTCTCTCTGGTCTCTCCCTGGTCTCTCTCCCTGGTCTCTCTCTCTGCTCTCTCTCCCTGGTCTCTCTCCCTGGTCTCTCTCTCTGGTCTCTCTCTCTGGTCTCTCTCTTGTCTCTCTCTTGTCTCTCTCTTGTCTCTCTCTGGTCTCTCTCTTGTCTCTCTCTGGTCTCTCTCTTGTCTCTCTCTGGTCTCTCTCTTGTCTCTCTCTGCTCTCTCTCCCTGGTCTCTCTTCCTGGTCTCTCTCTCCCTGGTCTCTCTTCCTGGTCTCTCTCTCCCTGGTCTCTCTCTGCTCTCTCTCTCCCTGGTCTCTCTCTCCCTGGTCTCTCTCTGCTCTCTCTCCCTGGTCTCTCTCTCCCTGGTCTCTCCCTGGTCTCTCCCTGGTCTCTCTCTCCCTGGTCTCTCCCTGGTCTCTCTCCCTGGTCTCTCTCTCCCTGGTCTCTCTCTGCTCTCTCTCCCTGGTCTCTCTCTCCCTGGTCTCTCTCTGCTCTCTCTCCCTGGTCTCTCTCTCCCTGGTCTCTCCCTGCTCTCTCTCCCTGGTCTCTCTCTCTCTGCTCTCTCTCTCTGCTCTCTCTCCCTGGTCTCTCTCTCTCTCCCTGGTCTCTCTCTGCTCTCTCTCCCTGGTCTCTCTCTCCCTGGTCTCTCTCCCTGGTCTCTCTCTCCCTGGTCTCTCCTGCTCTCTCTCCCTGGTCTCTCTCCCTGGTCTCTCCCTGGTCTCTCTCCCTGGTCTCTCTCTCCCTGGTCTCTCCCTGGTCTCTCTCTCCCTGGTCTCTCTCTGCTCTCTCTCCCTGGTCTCTCTCTCCCTGGTCTCTCCCTGGTCTCTCTCCCTGGTCTCTCTCTCCCTGGTCTCTCTCTGCTCTCTCTCCCTGGTCTCTCCCTGGTCTCTCCCTGGTCTCTCTCCCTGGTCTCTCCCTGGTCTCTCTCTCCCTGGTCTCTCTCTGCTCTCTCTCTCCCTGGTCTCTCTCTCCCTGGTCTCTCTCTGCTCTCTCTCCCTGGTCTCTCTCTCCCTGGTCTCTCTCTCTGCTCTCTCTCCCTGGTCTCTCTCTCCCTGGTCTCTCTCTCTGCTCTCTCTCCCTGGTCTCTCCCTGCTCTCTCTCTCTGCTCTCTCTCTCCCTGGTCTCTCTTCCTGGTCTCTCTCTCCCTGGTCTCTCTCTTCCTGGTCTCTCTCTCCCTGGTCTCTCTTCCTGGTCTCTCTCTCCCTGGTCTCTCTCTCTCGTGTCCTTCAGTCCAAACAGAACAAATACATATCTGTGTGTGTAATATTTCTGGATCTTGTAAATCTCTCTTCTGCCAAACAGTTTGTGCAAAACAAAAATAAACGCCGCTTCTTACCGTTAGCAGCAGAAATGAAAATACCAGCTTTTCTCCACAAGCCGCAGCTCTCAAGAAAATAAAGTAAGTGTGCGGCGTAAATGCGGGTTATTTGGAGCCGAGGTTGTTTGGCGCTGAGGGGAGCGTGGGGGGAGCGTGGGGGAGCGTGGGGGGAGCGTGGGGGGAGCCTGGGGGAGCCTGGGCCCTAATGGCGCGGTCCGGAGCGTGTAATCAGCTTAAACAAGGGTTGCGGCGCGGGGGGAAAATGGCTGGTAATAAATGCCTGCGGACGGCGTCTTTGTGAAGGCGAAATGTCACGTGGCCATTACCCAGAACGCACCGAGACGCCACTTAGCTCCAGCCGCGGTTTCACCGTCAGATCATAATGAAGTGGAAGGTGTTCTACTGCTTAGAGGACTCATAATAATACAGGGGGAGAGACCGGGGGAGACCGAGGAGAGACCGGGGGAGACCGAGTAGAGACCGAGTAGAGACCGGGGAGAGACCGAGGAGAGACCACTGAGGCTATATCCACACGAAGACAAAACGCTTATAATTTCAGAAACTTTTTCTGTAAACACGGAGTTAGCTCAGTAAATGTGTGCGTCCATATGAATGTAGTCAATACGCCTGAAAACGCTGTGAAACTATGCCAGACCTGTTGGTGGCGCTGTGACGCAATGACGGGATCAAGCCCAAACTTCCGTGACGGGAACTGGGCATGCGCAGAATTTAGTAAACAGACAACATGGCGAGTGGGCGAGCTGGTACTACATTAGTATGGACGGACGATGAGGTTGAACTGTTGCTTCGGGTCGCACTGGATTACAAAACCAACAAGCTACATTGTTGTTGTCATTATTTTCTGAGTGCGGCGCATGCGTGCTTTAACAAGAGGCGGGGCGATGACGCAAGCGTCTCAGATACATTGCGGAGAGGCAGTAACCACGGAGCGGCATATACGGAGTTTTGAAATCTTTCCACTCTGGGACCTAGTTTCAAAAATGTTCGTTTACACCCCCCCAAAACGCCGGCCTTGTATGGACGATACACTGGATTGATAAAGTATTTTTGCGTTTAGGCCTGAGCTTGACTTCGTGTGGACAGGGCCTGAGAGACGGGTAAGGAAACCGAGGAGAGACCGGGGAGAGACCGGAGGAGACCGGGGGGAGACCAGGGGGAGACCAGGGGGAGACCGAGGAGACACCGGGGGGAGACAGAGGAGAGACTGGGGGGAGACCGAGGAGAGACCAAAGGAGACCGGGGGGAGACCAGGGGGAGACCGAGGAGACACCGGGGGGAGACAGAGGAGAGACTGGGGGGAGACCGAGGAGAGACAGGGGGGAGACTGGGGAGAGACTGGGGAGAGACTGGGGAGAGACCGAGGAGAGACCGAGGACAGACCGGGTAAAGACCAGAGAGAGACCCGGGGAGAGGCCAGAGAGAGGCCAATGAGAGAGAGTGGAGAGGGACCAGAGAGAGAGAGGGATCAGATCCATCATTTTAAAGCCCTTAATCCATTTCTGACCAGAGCAGAATAATAATAATAATGCATCCGTTTTAAACAGCACTTTTCAGGACACTCAAAGAAGCTTCACAGAATTATTCATTCACTCATGGAGATAACCTCCTACTGTAGCCACAGCTGCCCTGGGGCACACTGACAGAAGCAAGGCAACCAGTCTGTGCCATCGGCCCCTCCCACCACCACCAACCATTCACACACTTTACAGCCACAGCCGCCCCACTGTGGCACCTGCTGTTCCCAGGGGTCTCCCATCACATCACTAACCAGGCCCTGTCCTGCTTAGCTTTAGAGGTCTGACAGGACCAGAGAGAATCACATTATAATGAACTCCTCCACCTGCAGCAGAACAGACAACTTTCTAAAGGAAAGAGCAGAACGTGCAAACACCCCCAAACTCTGAGGTCAGCTTCACTCACCCAAACACAGCTCCACGGCTCGTTCCGCTGCTGCTCCTCTGATGCAGGAGGCTCTGAGGTCAGCTTCACTCACCCAAACACAGCTCCACGGCTCGTTCTGCTGCTGCTCCTCTGATGCAGGAGGCTCTGAGGACAGCTTCACTCACCCAAACACAGCTCCACGGCTCGTTCCGCTGCTGCTCCTCTGATGCAGGAGGCTCTGAGGTCAGCTTCACTCACCCAAACACAGCTCCACGGCTCGTTCCGCTGCTGCTCCTCTGATGCAGGAGGCTCTGAGGTCAGCTTCACTCACCCAAACACAGCTCCACGGCTCGTTCCGCTGCTGCTCCTCTGATGCAGGAGGCTCTGAGGTCAGCTTCACTCACCCAAACACAGCTCCACGGCTCGTTCCGCTGCTGCTCCTCTGATGCAGGAGGCTCTGAGGTCAGCTTCACTCACCCAAACACAGCTCCACGGCTCGTTCTGCTGCTGCTCCTCTGATGCAGGAGGCTCTGAGGTCAGCTTCACTCACCCAAACACAGCTCCACGGCTCGTTCCGCTGCTGCTCCTCTGATGCAGGAGGCTCTGAGGACTGCTTCCCTCACCCAAACACAGCTCCACGGCTCGTTCTGCTGCTGCTCCTCTGATGCAGGAGGCTCTGAGGTCAGCTTCACTCACCCAAACACAGCTCCACGGCTCGTTCCGCTGCTGCTCCTCTGATGCAGGAGGCTCTGAGGACTGCTTCCCTCACCCAAACACAGCTCCACGGCTCGTTCCGCTGCTGCTCCTCTGATGCAGGAGGCTCTGAGGACTGCTTCCCTCACCCAAACACAGCTCCACGGCTCGTTCCGCTGCTGCTCCTCTGATGCAGGAGGCTCTGAGGTCAGCGTCACTCACCCAAACACAGCTCCACGGCTCGTTCCGCTGCTGCTCCTCTGATGCAGGAGGCTCTGAGGTCAGCTTCACTCACCCAAACACAGCTCCACGGCTCGTTCCGCTGCTGCTCCTCTGATGCAGGAGGCTCTGAGGTCAGCTTCACTCACCCAAACACAGCTCCACGGCTCGTTCCGCTGCTGCTCCTCTGATGCAGGAGGCTCTGAGGTCAGCTTCACTCACCCAAACACAGCTCCACGGCTCGTTCCGCTGCTGCTCCTCTGATGCAGGAGGCTCTGAGGTCAGCTTCACTCACCCAAACACAGCTCCACGGCTCGTTCCGCTGCTGCTCCTCTGATGCAGGAGGCTCTGAGGACTGCTTCCCTCACCCAAACACAGCTCCACGGCTCGTTCTGCTGCTGCTCCTCTGATGCAGGAGGCTCTGAGGTCAGCTTCACTCACCCAAACACAGCTCCACGGCTCGTTCCGCTGCTGCTCCTCTGATGCAGGAGGCTCTGAGGCTGCTTCCCTCACCCAAACACAGCTCCACGGCTCGTTCCGCTGCTGCTCCTCTGATGCAGGAGGCTCTGAGGACTGCTTCCCTCACCCAAACACAGCTCCACGGCTCGTTCCGCTGCTGCTCCTCTGATGCAGGAGGCTCTGAGGTCAGCTTCACTCACCCAAACACAGCTCCACGGCTCGTTCCGCTGCTGCTCCTCTGATGCAGGAGGCTCTGAGGTCAGCTTCACTCACCCAAACACAGCTCCACGGCTCGTTCCGCTGCTGCTCCTCTGATGCAGGAGGCTCTGAGGTCAGCTTCACTCACCCAAACACAGCTCCACGGCTCGTTCCGCTGCTGCTCCTCTGATGCAGGAGGCTCTGAGGTCAGCTTCACTCACCCAAACACAGCTCCACGGCTCGTTCTGCTGCTGCTCCTCTGATGCAGGAGGCTCTGAGGTCAGCTTCACTCACCCAAACACAGCTCCACGGCTCGTTCCGCTGCTGCTCCTCTGATGCAGGAGGCTCTGAGGTCAGCTTCACTCACCCAAACACAGCTCCACGGCTCGTTCCGCTGCTGCTCCTCTGATGCAGGAGGCTCTGAGGTCAGCTTCACTCACCCAAACACAGCTCCACGGCTCGTTCCGCTGCTGCTCCTCTGATGCAGGAGGCTCTGAGGTCAGCTTCACTCACCCAAACACAGCTCCACGGCTCGTTCCGCTGCTGCTCCTCTGATGCAGGAGGCTCTGAGGACTGCTTCCCTCACCCAAACACAGCTCCACGGCTCGTTCCGCTGCTGCTCCTCTGATGCAGGAGGCTCTGAGGACTGCTTCCCTCACCCAAACACAGCTCCACGGCTCGTTCCGCTGCTGCTCCTCTGATGCAGGAGGCTCTGAGGTCAGCTTCACTCACCCAAACACAGCTCCACGGCTCGTTCCGCTGCTGCTCCTCTGATGCAGGAGGCTCTGAGGTCAGCTTCACTCACCCAAACACAGCTCCACGGCTCGTTCCGCTGCTGCTCCTCTGATGCAGGAGGCTCTGAGGTCAGCTTCACTCACCCAAACACAGCTCCACGGCTCGTTCCGCTGCTGCTCCTCTGATGCAGGAGGCTCTGAGGTCAGCTTCACTCACCCAAACACAGCTCCACGGCTCGTTCTGCTGCTGCTCCTCTGATGCAGGAGGCTCTGAGGTCAGCTTCACTCACCCAAACACAGCTCCACGGCTCGTTCCGCTGCTGCTCCTCTGATGCAGGAGGCTCTGAGGTCAGCTTCACTCACCCAAACACAGCTCCACGGCTCGTTCTGCTGCTGCTCCTCTGATGCAGGAGGCTCTGAGGTCAGCTTCACTCACCCAAACACAGCTCCACGGCTCGTTCCGCTGCTGCTCCTCTGATGCAGGAGGCTCTGAGGTCAGCTTCACTCACCCAAACACAGCTCCACGGCTCGTTCCGCTGCTGCGCCTCTGATGCAGGAGGCTCTGAGGTCAGCTTCACTCACCCAAACACAGCTCCACGGCTCGTTCCGCTGCTGCTCCTCTGATGCAGGAGGCTCTGAGGTCAGCTTCACTCACCCAAACACAGCTCCACGGCTCGTTCCGCTGCTGCTCCTCTGATGCAGGAGGCTCTGAGGTCAGCTTCACTCACCCAAACACAGCTCCACGGCTCGTTCCGCTGCTGCTCCTCTGATGCAGGAGGCTCTGAGGTCAGCTTCACTCACCCAAACACAGCTCCACGGCTCGTTCCGCTGCTGCTCCTCTGATGCAGGAGGCTCTGAGGTCAGCTTCACTCACCCAAACACAGCTCCACGGCTCGTTCCGCTGCTGCTCCTCTGATGCAGGAGGCTCTGAGGTCAGCTTCACTCACCCAAACACAGCTCCACGGCTCGTTCCGCTGCTGCTCCTCTGATGCAGGAGGCTCTGAGGACTGCTCCGTGTGCTGTGTTTGGGATCACTGCAAATGCTTTAACGGTTTGATTCTCTGATCTGTGGAGGGAGAATGGACAAGTCGCTGCTGTTGTGGTTTAAGGCGATAAACAAATAAATTGGACTGTACTGAGTCGTGTGCAGAAACTAACTGTAGCTTCAGACCCTTCGTGTTTCTGTGACTGCCTGAAGTTGGAGGGGATCCCTAAATGTATCCGAGTACTCGTGCTCTTGAGGTGGACTGATGTGAAAGGTGATGATTTGAGCAGGGGTCTATGGGGGGAGGGGGGGGTCCTGGGGGTAGACGGGGGAGGCGGGGGACAGGGGGGAGGCACACCTGTGATGGCTCCGGCCTGATTGCTCCTGGCTCGGGTGATTGGGTCGCCTCTCTCCACAATGGGGGGAAATTTACGGGACAGAAGAGGACTGAGAAAGGAGCTGAGCATTGTCCGAGGTTTTGGGGCGAACGAGGGGAGGGGGGGGGGGTTATTATGGGAACAGGGGCTGCTTTAAAGCTAGGGTACGCAACTTTCAAGAGACCATAGAGAGAGAGAGAACGGAGAGAGACCAGAGAGAGACCAGAGAGAGACCAGGGAGAGACCAGAGAGAGACCAGAGAGAGACCAGAGAGAGACCAGAGAGAGACCAGAGAGAGACCAGAGAGAGACCAGAGAGAGAGACCAGAGAGAGACCAGAGAGAGACCAGAAAGAGACCAGAAAGAGACAAGAGAGAGACCAGTGAGAGACCAGAGAGAGACCAGAAAGAGACAAGAGAAAGGCCAGAGAGAGGCCAAAGAGAGACCAGAGAGAGACCAGAGAGAGAGACCAGAAAGAGACCAGAGAGAGACCAGAGAGAGACCAGTGAGAGACCAGAGAGAGACCAGAGAGAGACCAGAAAGAGACAAGAGAAAGGCCAGAGAGAGGCCAAAGAGAGACCAGAGAGAGACCAGAGAGAGAGACCAGAAAGAGACCAGAGAGAGACCAGAAAGAGACAAGAGAGAGACCAGTGAGAGACCAGAGAGAGACCAGAAAGAGACAAGAGAGAGACCAGTGAGAGACCAGAGAGAGACCAGAAAGAGACAAGAGAAAGGCCAGAGAGAGGCCAAAGAGAGACCAGAGAGAGACCAGAGAGAGAGACCAGAAAGAGACCAGAGAGAGACCAGAGAGAGACCAGTGAGAGACCAGAGAGAGACCAGAAAGAGACAAGAGAGAGACCAGTGAGAGACCAGAGAGAGACCAGAAAGAGACCAGAAAGAGACCAGAAAGAGACCAGAGAGAGACCAGTGAGAGACCAGAGAGAGACCAGAAAGAGACAAGAGAGAGACCAGTGAGAGACCAGAGAGAGACCAGAAAGAGACAAGAGAGAGACCAGAGAGAGACCAGAAAGAGACCAGAAAGAGACAAGAGAGAGACCAGTGAGAGACCAGAGAGAGACCAGAAAGAGACAAGAGAAAGGCCAGAGAGAGGCCAAAGAGAGACCAGAGAGAGACCAGAGAGAGACCAGAGAGAGACCAGAGAGAGAACAGAGAGACCAAAAAGACCAGAGAGAGACCAGAGAGAGACAAGAGAGAGACCAGTGAGAGACCAGAGAGAGACCAGAAAGAGACCAGAAAGAGACCAGAAAGAGACCAGAGAGAGACCAGTGAGAGACCAGAGAGAGACCAGAAAGAGACAAGAGAGAGACCAGTGAGAGACCAGAGAGAGACCAGAAAGAGACAAGAGAGAGACCAGAGAGAGACCAGAGAGAGACCAGAGAGAGACCAGAGAGAGACCAGAGAGAGACCAGAGAGAGACCAGAGAGAGACCAGGGAGAGACCAGAGAGAGACCAGAGAGAGACCAGAGAGGGAGAGACCAGAGAGAGACCAGAGAGAGACCAGAGAGAGACCAGAGAGAGACCAGAGAGAGACCAGAGAGAGACCAGAGAGAGACCAGAGAGAGACCAGAGAGAGACCAGGGAGAGACCAGAGAGAGACCAGAGAGAGACCAGAGAGGGAGAGACCAGAGAGAGACCAGAGAGAGACCAGAGAGAGACCAGAGAGGGAGAGACCAGAGAGAGACCAGAGAGAGACCAGAGAGAGAGAGACCAGAGAGAGACCAGAGAGAGACCAGAGAGAGACCAGAGAGGGAGAGACCAGAGAGAGACCAGAGAGAGACCAGAGAGAGACCAGAGAGAGAGAGACCAGAGAGAGGGACCAGGGAGAGACCAGAGAGAGACCAGAGAGAGACCAGAGAGAGACCAGAGAGAGAGAGACCAGAGAGAGGGACCAGGGAGAGACCAGAGAGAGACCAGAGAGACCAGAGAGAGAGACCAGAGAGAGACCAGAGAGACCAGAGAGAGACCAGAGAGAGACCAGAGAGACCAGAGAGAGAGACCAGAGAGAGACCAGAGAGACCAGAGAGAGACCAGAGAGAGACCAGAGAGAGACCAGAGAGGGATGGACCAGAGAGAGACCAGAGAGGGATGGACCAGAGAGGGATGGACCAGAGAGAGACCAGAGAGAGAGACCAGAGAGAGACCAGAGAGAGACCAGAGAGACCAGAGAGAGAGAGATCAGAGAGAGACCAGAGAAAGACTAGAGAGACCAGAGAGAGAGACCAGAGAGAGACCAGAGAAAGACTAGAGAGACCAGAGAGGGAGAGAGAGACCAGAGAGAGACCAGAGAGAGACCAGAGAAAGACTAGAGAGACCAGAGAGAGAGACCAGAGAGAGACCAGAGAGAGACCAGAGAGGGAGAGAGAGACCAGAGAGAGACCAGAGAGAGACCAGAGAAAGACGAGAGAGACCAGAGAGAGAGACCAGAAAGAGACCAGAGAGAGACCAGAGAGAGACCAGAGAGAGACCAGAGAGAGAGCAGAGAGAGAGAACAGAGAGAGAGATCAGAGAGAGAGACCAGAGAAAGACGAGAGAGACCAGAGATGGAGAGAGAGACCAGAGAGAGACCAGAGAGAAAGACGAGAGAGACCAGAGAGAGACCAGAGAAAGACGAGAGAGACCAGAGAGAGACCAGAGAAAGACGAGAGAGACCAGAGAGAGACCAGAGAGAGACCAGAGAAAGACGAGAGAGACCAGAGAGAGACCAGAGAGAGACCAGAGAGACCAGAGAGAGAGACCAGAAAGAGGCCAGAGAGAGAGAGAGATCAGGGATAAAAAATAAAGCAGACAAATAAAAGGAAAATATTCAACACAAAAAACTTGTTAAACGTTTTATAGTTTTGATTTTTGGTTCAGTTCGTTTGAGTGAACTTTGGTTTAAGTTTGGTGTAAGAATGAAAACGAGTGAGCGCCTCAGCTGTAGCTAGCAGGTTAGCATCATAGCTAGCAGGTTAGCACTGTAGGCACCAGATTAGCGTCGTAGCTAGCAGGTTAGCACTGTAGCTAGCAGGTTAGCACTGTAGCTAGCAGGTTAGCACTGTAGCTAGCAGGTTAGCACCGTAGCGTAGCAGCAGGTTAGCACTGTAGCTAGCAGGTTAGCACTGTAGCTAGCAGGTTAGCACTGTAGCTAGCAGGTTAGCACTGTAGCTAGCAGGTTAGCACTGTAGCTAGCAGGTTAGCACCGTAGCCAGCAGGTTAGCACTGTAGCTAGCAGGTTAGCACCGTAGCTAGCAGGTTAGCACTGCCCATGGCCTGTATACAGTCCGTGGTTGAAGTCAGCGGTGGCCTGTGTCTGTTCCTCTGTCGTCTGTGGAACACAACGGATAATCAATGAACACAGGCAGGAGCTTTAGAGAGACCAGAGACAGAGAGACCAGAGACAGAGAGACCAGAGACAGAGAGACCAGAGACAGAGAGACCAGAGACAGAGAGACCAGAGACAGAGAGACCAGAGACAGAGAGACCAGAGACAGAGAGACCAGAGACAGAGAGACAGAGACAGAGAGACCAGAGACAGAGAGACCAGAGACAGAGAGACCAGAGACAGAGACAGAGAGACCAGAGACAGAGAGACCAGAGACAGAGAGACCAGAGACAGACAGACCAGAGACAGACAGACCAGAGACAGAGAGACCAGAGACAGAGAGACCAGAGACAGAGAGACCAGAGACAGAGAGACCAGAGACAGAGAGACCAGAGACAGAGAGACCAGAGACAGAGACAGAGAGACCAGAGACAGAGAGACCAGAGACAGAGAGACAGAGACAGAGAGACCAGAGACAGAGAGACCAGAGACAGAGAGACCAGAGACAGAAGACCAGAGACAGAGAGACCAGAGACAGAGACCAGAGACAGAGACCAGAGACAGAGAGACAGAGACAGAGAGACAGAGACAGAGAGACCAGAGACAGAGAGACCAGAGACAGAGAGACCAGAGACAGAGAGAGAGACAGACAGAGACCAGAGACAGAGAGACCAGAGACAGAGAGACCAGAGACAGAGAGACCAGAGACAGAGAGACCAGAGACAGAGAGAGACAGAGAGACCAGAGACAGAGAGACCAGAGACAGAGAGACCAGAGACAGAGAGACCAGAGACAGAGAGAGAGACCAGAGACAGAGACAGAGACAGAGAGACCAGAGACAGAGAGACCAGAGACAGAGAGACCAGAGACAGAGAGACCAGACAGAGACAGAGAGACCAGAGACAGAGAGACCAGAGACAGAGAGACCAGAGACAGAGAGACCAGAGACAGAGAGACCAGAGACAGAGAGACCAGAGACAGACCAGAGACAGACCAGAGACAGAGAGACCAGAGACAGAGAGACCAGAGACAGAGAGACCAGAGACAGAGAGACCAGAGACGGCAGACAGACCAGAGACAGAGAGACCAGAGACAGAGAGACCAGAGACAGAGAGACCAGAGACAGAGAGACCAGAGACAGAGAGACCAGAGACAGAGAGACCAGAGACAGAGAGACCAGAGACAGAGAGACCAGAGACAGAGAGACCAGAGACAGACAGACCAGAGACAGAGACAGACCAGACAGAGACAGAGAGACCAGAGACAGAGAGACCAGAGACAGAGAGACCAGAGACAGAGACAGAGAGACCAGAGACAGAGAGACCAGAGACAGAGAGACCAGAGACAGAGACAGAGAGACCAGAGACAGAGAGACCAGAGACAGAGAGACCAGAGACAGAGAGACCAGAGACAGAGAGACCAGAGACAGAGAGACCAGAGACAGAGAGACCAGAGACAGAGAGACCAGAGACAGACAGACCAGAGACAGACAGACCAGAGACAGAGAGACCAGAGACAGAGAGACCAGAGACAGAGAGACCAGAGACAGAGAGACCAGAGACAGAGAGACCAGAGACAGAGAGACCAGAGACAGAGACAGAGACCAGAGACAGAGAGACCAGAGACAGAGAGACCAGAGACAGAGAGACCAGAGACAGAGAGACCAGAGACAGAGAGACCAGAGACAGAAGACCAGAGACAGAGAGACCAGAGACAGAGAGACCAGAGACAGAGAGACCAGAGACAGAGAGACCAGAGACAGAGAGACC